TGCACAAAAAAGCTGCTGTGTTGACTACAGAAAAGAGCCACCGCACTTGCAGCAATTACTATGAAGAGCTTTTGACATTATTAGGGCTACAAAATGCAAGTTCTTGGTTTCTTTTGATCTTTCAATAATTACAATTTAATCAACCAGTAGGAAGTCCAGAACATTAGGATATATGGATTTCCAAGTAATGATATTGTACAGTACTATGTGAATTCCCAAGCAGTGATATTGTGTTGTGTGATTTCACAAAAAGTGATATTGTTCCAATGCAAAATTTTAAAAATCAGAGAGCTAGGCATTGCAAGTTGAAATACAGGTGAATTCAGCAGAAATCAGATTCACACAAACAAGCACCCAGCAATATATCACATACAGTGGAACCTTTTCTGGCAGATAAAATAAGGCATCAAAATTCACAGCAGAAAAGTAAAAAATGCAGGTCAGATTACTAACCACATCAGAACAAAGATAATGTCTCTTCCTAGCACCATGTACACTCTGATGAATTAATTCTGGGCTCTGGATTCCAATTATAAGTTTAGATTCTGGAAGACAAGACTTCTTCCACTGGTTGATAGATCGTGTGAGGTCGACCTTCTTGGAGGAACCATGGTAATCTGCTGCTCTCAACCTGCAGTAGATACAAAATATTGATTCTAGAATCCAGGAGAACTTTCCCATCCTCTCCACCTTTGGCCCGGAACTGATCTATCTTTGCCTGTAATTCACTGGTGACCATCTTATCTGATTTAACTAGGCTTCATCCCATTTTTTTTGTATGGGTGGGGGGAGGTCTGCTACATGCGGAAAACCATCACCATGACTAAGAGTATCTAAACCAGACACAGTTCCCTGTATGCCACCCATAAATGAAAACGTCCATGCCGGGATTGGAATGTGCACACTCTATCTAGAGGGACACCCTTTTTAACTAATTCTGGAGAGTATTAGGTGCGGGTGGCAAAAGTGAAGGGCTGTAGCATTGGGAGACTACTGGAGTTTTCCCAGTTAAAACTGTATAACTTGGCATTGAAAGTATTGTCACTGCTTATCCAACTAGGACCATGACATAGTGTGTTCTGTAGGGCACACGTTTGGATGTCATGGCAAGGACACTGGGATGCCTGCCATTTTAGGATAAGAAAAAATTCCTGTGGCTGCATGAACATTAAAATATCATATCACGTGAATTCACAAACTGATTTTGTACCATTGATTTTCCAAGCAGTGATGTACCATATGATTTGACAAACATTGATATACCACATGATTTCACAATCAGCAATATTGCATCACATGATTTCCCAAGCAGCGATGAATTGACATGAATTGACAAGCAACAATTTTGTCCTATGTGTCCTATGTGATTTTACAAGCACTGATACTATATCACATGATTTTCCAAGCAGTGATTTGCACCATATAATTCCACAAACATGAATATTTCACTACATGATTTCACAAGTACTGTAACAATAATGTACTACATGATTTCCCAAGCAGTGTTATTTGTCCACATGTTTTCCCAAGCAGCGATGATGTAACATGATTTCAGAAGCTTTGATACTGATTTTTTTCCTGCCTGATTTAAAAGACTATAACAACTCCTATCTATTATAAAGCAAATATTGCCTTACGGAAAACCAGATCACTAAGTCAGAATATTATAACAAGTTTAAAATAACTTTGAAAATACTTAAAACATATTCTTGTTGAAATCATATGTTTTTGCTATACTTATTTCACATAAACCAGCCAACTAACCTGGTTTCAGCATTGGCCGACCCTCACCTAATGTGGTTCTGCCAACCCCGCTATCCCCCACCCCTTACCAGATCTTGCCTTGTGAATTTATTTAGTTATTTAAAGTACTAAAATTCCTGTTCTTTTTTCAGACACAGAACAAGTTATTTTTTACTAAATATTTGGTAACCTCATCCCAAAACTACCCCAAAACATTCAAAAACAGAAACTACCCCAAATGAATCAGGTATTCTGTCTGAATGGATTATGAGCACATAAGAGCATATAGGAGCCACCTGCCTCTTTGGCAAGTCCAACATCTTTTGCATATTGGACCAACTGCAGGGAAACCTTGTCATAATGAAGATGACTGAATCCAATGTCTCACCAAGTGAGGCATAAAAAATTGACCAACTTCCGGGTCATCAGATGAGCATGCTAGAACCATCCTGGCTGGGTCATCAGGAAGCACTGCCAATGTCACTGCCATGGTTTAGAATGGGAAGCCAGTTAGAGTTAGTCAGCACTGCAAGAAGAGTTTACTGGACTTCAAGTTAACACATGTCATCAGTAGAACCAAGCTAAAGATGAGGCAGTGAGATATTGAAAGGGGTTCCAAGTTATAATGAGCCCGAAAGTGCCCTTCTACCTTGGTGGGGTTGTTAACAGGATCTCGGGGCTAAATTAGCTCCAAAGTGTCTTGCTTGGCTATGGAATATCAGAATTCAATCAATCTTCTGGGACTAAGGAATTCCTCAGATAAATGCATCCTGCTTCGTTAATCCCAGGGAATGCACATGATTTACCAGACAATTCAAAGCCACCTATATGTGGAACACTCAGTGGTTTGGTTGGATATGCTTAATTCTGGTGATGGATGTCTGCTTGTGTCAGAAAACAATTACTCATTTATTTGCAACATATTGTTTGGTTCCTTGTATTTTCTTCAAATTAACATTCTTGGCACAGTATCTGCACGAAGGGCTCACCCATGATTTTTGAATGATCCTCGTTAAAAATAATATCCCCAACCATCCACCGGTATAAACAATGGCTGGGAACCAAGGGACCATTAACCCATCTCTGAGGAGGACCCAGAGTGTCAGTGGTAACGCTTACATTCTGCAGTTTAACGTTTAAATTTAAACTTTGCAAAACTTTGAGCCAGAACTTTCCCGTGTAACCTCTGAGTGAATCCAGTTCCCGCCAATTCATAGAAAGTTTATTTTTATATATTTAAAAAAAAAGCCCCATACCTTGGCTCCACATGCACAGCAGATTTTCACTAACGTGTTTGAAGTGGGGCGTTTGTCCTAGTTGGCCGATCGCCCTATTTATCTTTCCCTTAAATCTGGGAAACAAGCAGATCATATGAAGATCTCAGCGTGTTCAGGATCCCCACCTTGTTCTCCCATTGCAACATCAGATTATTCTGTGCTCTTTGCCTTTAACCCCCCCCCCCCCCCCACAGCTGATGTACATTGGACAACACGGGCTCTACTATGGTTGGTCTCCTCACCTGCAACCAATGCACTGAGACCTGGTGCCAGCTGTTTCCAACAAATATTGGGTAATAGGGCGGGGGAAGGGATTAAATTGATCTTGCTATTAGACATCTTACGCACATTTTCCACTAGAACAGATGACCAGGGGTAATGGAATGCAGATGTTTTGGGTCCAACATTTCTGCATGTGCATGAACAGCACCCAAGCTAACTCAGGCACCAAGCTAACTCACTCACTGCATTGCACGCCAGCACTTGACTCATCGCTTCCTCTATATTTATCCCTCGAGTTATTTTCTGGGATCAGATCAAACGAGGTAACTGCATTAGATTACAAATAACATCGATCTGGAACTCTCCCATCCTGGTGTGGAACCGCATGGGTAATACTTTCAACAGCAATCTCCAAGCAAGTACAGAAACACAACCTTAATTCCATATGACATATGTTTTATGTGGTGATGTAAACATGAAACACAAGCAGATAATAATATCAATCGTTGCCTGTGATATGTGTGGAAATAAATAAAATGCATTTATAAAGTACAGTAGTTATCAAATGCTAACACGTTAGTTGAAGATTATAGCAATTAATGGAGCAAAATGACTGATAGTTTCCAGCTCATCGAATTTGTAGCTAATAATAATAATATTACATGACCAACTTTAAACCGAATTGAAATCAAACCGATTCCCTTAACGTTGAGGTGACAATTTGCATCAAAGTGTAATGTGACTCAGAGACCTTTCAGGCACTGCTTCGGTGTACGTGAAAGTGAAGGGAGGAAGAAAGTGGAGCCATTCCTACATAATCCCACGTCGAAGAATGTGTCCCGTCGACTGTGATCTGAATTGTCATTTTCTGCAATGTTAAACCACTTAAAGAAACCATTATAAATCTTACATCGCATGTATATATACATATATATATATACCCCACACACACACATGCAAAGCATGTTCCCACGTTTAACTAATGCGAATTACAGATACCTCGTGGGCTGAATTTGGACAGAAACCCTCTCTATGGCACTGACCAGCTTTATCCACTGGTTGGGGACTTTTCTTAATGGAATCGTAGAAACGGTGCTATATGTTCAGGTCATATATATAGTGATTTTGTAAAGTGAATGCTTCAATCCCGTGCTGGAGAATGAGAGAGAAAGCACTATCTTCTCATTCAGACAGCATTGAAGTCTAAGCTCCTTCTCCCTCCCCCCAAGTAGTGTTGCTCGACTGACAGTAGCTGTGACATTGAATCAGACTCGCGTTTGGTACTCAGTCCAGTTGGGGAAGGGAGGCTGCTGCCAACCCTGGGCTCCCATGAAAGAACATGGTTTTAGTAGAAAATGACATGGGTGTATTTATTTCTCTTTGCCACGTCAGCTTGCAGTGGAGGTGGTGGTGGTGGGGGGAGTGGAGTGGTGGTGGTGGGGGGAGTGGAGTGGTGGTGGTGGGGGGGGGGGGGGAGTGGTGGGGGGGGGGATCTTTACAAGTGGTAGCAGAAAAATATGCCATAGAGTACAATCCGATGGAGTTAACTCGAGTTAACTGTTTGCCAGACGCCGCTAGAATTGCTGCTGATGGCTGGAGAGAATATCCTGGTTCACTCGAGAGTGTGTTCATCAGGAGAAGTTTTCCCAATGCAATGCGTTGCCTTTCACGAACTGATATTTTAACAGGGGGGGTGGGTTGGTTTTTTTTTGTTTTGGAGGGTGGGGGGGGGGGATGGGGGGGGGAAGAATTCCTTACCTCTTTAAGTTCTTTAGCCACGTCCTTTAAATCGCCCAGGACTAACTCCAAATCCTCTACAATAGTCTTGATCTGCTGTTTTACCTTTGCCTTGCAGGCTGCGCTCTCCTTTGGTTTCCCTGACATTATTGGGGGGCGGCGATCAGACAACACTGACCATCACCATCTCACGGCTTTGCCCATCACCCTCCTCCTGCTGCTGCTGCTGCTGCTGCCTCCTCCTCCTCCTCCTCTCCGGCTCGGTCTCTCCCCGCCGATTGCCATCAACTCAGAAATAACTGCGGGATCCCAGGACTGCAGAAATCTGGCCAGTGTACGCCTGCGTCAGTGTGCATGGCAAATTAAGCGGGGTGGGGGTGGGGGGGGGGGGGGGGAATGTAAGTAAATATTATGGCAGCCTGGCTTTGGTTAAAACCTTCCCGCACATGCTGACTAACACCCCTCTCGCCTCCTCGCCACTGTGCAATCGCAGGCTGCCTTCAGTGGCAACTCTCCCTGACTTGAAACCAGGCGATCAGCTCCCAGTTTGTGCACATCCATAATCTTGAGCGATCTTAGCAGCTCCCTTCTCCCTCTCCAGCTTCTCTTCTCTCTCTCTCTCTCTCTTTCTCTTTCTCTCCAGATAACTGCAGACTCCCGGAATCCAAATGCACAAGTGAAGATGTCAGGGATTTTTTTTTTTCTCTTTTTTTTTTGCTTTCTCCCCCACCCACACCCCACACACGTTAAAAAAAAAAACTTGTCTCTGAAAGTTGTGACAGTGCGCGAGGCGAGGCTCACAGCACAGCACAGCACAGCCCGGGTGTCAGTCAATGCATAAGAGCAAATCGGTCCAGTCACTGTCATCAGATGGTCCTGAGTGAGAGAGAGAGAGAGAGAGAAGGGAAACCAGCGCCTCTTCCCCAGTCAGTCAGTCAGTCAGATCGTCCACTGCTAAATCTGCTCCGAGTCAATGAACAAGTAATGGTTTAATAACCCTAAGCTTGTGCCAGCCCTCCCTTTAATAACCAAGAGAGGTGTAAGCCTTCCTGACGACTTGTAATCGCTGCTGGCCTCATTCATATTAGGTTCACCCCCCCCACACACACACTTTCTTCTCTCTCTGTTTCACCATCACCAAAAACACAGCAGCAAAGCACTACTCACGTCTGAATGGAAATAAACGCAGATCTGTTAACGGGACTGAGCTTTGCGCAACTTGTTTCCGGATCTGCTTTGAGGTGTTAGATGTCAGCAATCGGCTGCCGAGAGTCTGTAAACTGAGCCTCACCTGGTCAGAGCTTTCTCACTTTGGAGGCATTGAGAGGCAATGTGTGTGCGGGGCGGACAAGGTAACCATCGTATTATTTCTCCCTCTCTCTCTCTCTCTCTCTCCCAGACAGTGTTTCAGTCATCTATCGAGGTATGCAACTTGTGAATGAAAATTCCTCCCTCTGCCCCCGAGGGTCAGAGCAGATACCTGGAGATTTCCATGGCATTTCATGTTGTTGTGAGTGTCCTGACCAACAACCCCCCCTCAATAACATTGGTCACTCAGTTCCTGGCTGTTTGTGGGCACTGCTGTGCACAAACTGGCTGCCACCGTCGTCTATAAAACACAGTCACTACACTTTACAGTAAAGTTCTACGAAGCGCCTTGAGACCATCTCGGGATTTGAATAGGCGCTCTATTAAATGCAAAGATTATTATCCTCTGTAACCCATCCCCCCCACCCCCACTTCTTGTTTTTAAAGCCATCCCGGGTGTGTCTGCAATTGACATGCCACAGATTTCTAACCCAGGAGGTTACGGTGAAAAAAAACATGTTACATCTTAAATAGCAATTTTTTAAAAAGAACAAATTGGATTTAACTCCTTCCCCCCCACCTCTCCTCTGTCCCCCTTCCCATTGTGGATGTGAGTGCGCATAATGTACAACGCCAATGGAAAGCAACGGTTGTGTGTGAATTGCAGCACTTTGAATAAATATCGTTAACGCAAATTAAATAAAATGAGGGCTCCCTCCCATCTGTTTAACTCCCATCTCTGAGCAACATGCAGGTTTATTTCCCTGCACACTCACCTGCCCCTTCACTGAAATCCGGGTAGGACGTCCAGCAGACTTAGCAACGCACAGTAAGCATTTGTTGCATGTTTGCATCAACGCGGTTGTTAAATCATGTGCTCGGAAATATATTCGGGAACGAGAGCCCGTAAACCCATTTATGTTTATTAGCGGCGATTGACTCGGGCGACCGATGCCAAAATGCCTTGTTCTTTAATAATACAGTACTTCCTTCACCCCGTGAGTCATGAAACCAACTGTGTTATTGTGTACATATGCAATCTGCTCGTGGAGTAAAAGACAGCTTTCCCATTGAATGCCAGTGGTCTTTAGTTTATAATAATAATAATAGTTTTGCTTGCTTTTCGCGAGACATTATTCACCAGAAAGTTGACTTCAAACAAACAAATGACTTCCAAACCCCCACCAGCAGTTTTGCGATTGCAAAAACCAAAAGGTGGGGAGCAGGGACAAGCAGGTAGAATAAACCTGCGAGTGCATTATTTATTTGCATCTTTCGGGGTTGTGGGCTGTCCACGGGGTATTTGTGAGTAACAAGGTGACATCTGCAACCCTTCAGACAGAAAGTAACCCCAAACCTTGATGTTGCAACTTATGCACCGGTTAGTAAATAAGTAAAGCAGGTAATGCAACCACCACAGTACCAGCAGCTCACACACAGCAGCTCAAACATACTAATAGATCCGGACCTTTGCTTTTGATTTCTGTGAATATAGTAAACACCACCCAGTGAGTGCAATTTACAGGGAAGTGGGTGGCTCACCATCAGGCAGATTGATTGTTTTACAGGTTGAATATACTGCCCCTTCCTCCCCCCCCCACCCCCTGTTTGGCCGATCTCCCTTTCAATGCAGCAAACATTCTGTGTGGGGAAAAGCTCACTCAGTTTCCAGTCAACCAGGCGGGTTGCTTTAAACGTTTTAAAGCAATAACGCCTCCCCTCCCACTTCGAAAACACTAAGACTAAGTGAACATACGCTGTTGGTTTTCTGTTTTTATTAATCTTACCAACAGTATCTTGTTGAAAATATTGAGAATTTGCTACCAACTGAAAACAAGATTCAGACATCTCAGGGACTTGAACAGGCGCTGTATTGAATGTGTGTGTATATATATATATATATAGATGGTTAGTATAGCTTTAAAAAACAGATTTGCAAAGTGATGAAGGGGTTGGGGGATTCCAATACACTTTCGCTCATGAAACCCCATATAAACGTTAAGACTGGGAAAGCGATCCTTTTACGAGAAGTTATCCCGCGAGCAGGAAATTGTATTTTACTCGTATTTCAACCCAGTGAGCAGCAGACGCTTGAGGAAAGCGACTGAACGTGATAATCACAACCAGATGGGTTTTTTTAAAAAAAAGTGATTTGCATGGAGGGGTTTTTTTTTGCAAGAAAAGGCTCTCCCTACTGATTGATTCCAGTGCCGTGTTACAATAACAGACGTGAACAGCGTGTGTAGAAATGCTTCCCCCGATCTCAGCTTCACAGCACATCAATAAATACCAACAGATCAACAACAGGTCTGGTTGCAATGCATTAGATGTTTGCTGGACTCGGATGCAACATCAGTAACTTGGCATTTCATCAGCATCTAATCACAGGAGACTGGGAGGGGGGCTGTGTGATTGCTGATACAGGAGCCACACCACTGAGCAGGTTAACAGGCTTGTGGCAATGGAGAGAAAGCCACCCCCCTCCAGCCCTTAAAGGGTATATCACCAGTGGAGGAGAATTCAGGCTCGATCGACTGACTGACTGACTGACTGCAGGCAGCAATGAAGTCGCATCGCTTTCCAGCTGGAGGGAAATAACGCATTAAATCCTTAAAAGGGTTATATGTACCGTTCACATCCTGCCTTAGATTGAAAACAAAAGCAGCCCCAAAAGGCACCCGATCTTTTAGGAAACCGAAGTGCACTTAAATGATACATTAGAGCAGGTAAAGGGGAGGGTTTTGTTTTTACAATTGAGCAAATCCTATCGAGTACTGTATGTTTGAAAAGGGGATGGAGTGTGTTAGGGTTTGAGTTGTGCAATCCAGGAAAACTATTGTTATGTTGTAAAGCCTGGAGTCCTGGCCTGTGTTGTGTGTGAATTGTGTTTGTGCAACGGTTGTTTGTGAATTGCAGCACTTTGAATAAACATCGTTAATGCAAGTTGAACGGGGTTGGGAGGATGGATAGATGTGCTCTATGCCAACTCGGCCACATTGCCCGTTTCCAACAATATCTCACCCCAAAAGCTGCTGAAACCCTTGTTTGTGCCTTTGTCACCTCTCGGCCGGACTACCCTAATGCCCTCCTCACCGGTCTCCCCTCCTCCACTATTCTCAAAATTCAGCTCATTCAAAACTCCTCTGCATCCCCCGAATCCTCTGCTCCTCCATTGGCGGCCGTGCCTTCAGCCACTTCGCCCCGAAACTTTGGAACTCCCTCCTTCAAACCCTTCGCCTCATCCCCTCTTTCCCCAACTTCAAGTCGCACCTGAAGACCTTCCTCTATGACCGCCCCTACAGTCACCTTCCCCCTACCCCTGGCTCGGCCTTGGGCTCCACCATTGATAAGCGCTCTGAGACACTGCCGGAGTGGAGGGGGTTATATAGGTGCAAGTTGTTGCTGTTGCCACACATGTTCCTTGAATATTTGCCAGTAAAATGGCCAAGTATTCCTCCAGATTAATTGAACATTTCCCTATTGATTGTGGAATAATCATTACACCCCAGAGTAAAGATATTTTGTTGTGAGAAGGCAGTACAAATATTCAAATACTCATCTGTCCTTTGGATGACAAGTTAAACCAAGGTTCTGTCTGTTCAAATGGATATTAAAGAACCCATGGCACTGGTCAAAAAGTTTAGGAGAACAGTCCCACAAATAAAATGTGTACTTTGGTTCATGGCTGTTCATGGGAAGTTGCTGTGCACACATTGGTTGCTGTGTTTGCCTACAAAATCCACAGCTGCTACCCTTTTTTAGTATATCCTATGAAGTGCTTTGAGATGTCCTTGAGATGTGAAAGATGCTGTGTCAAATGTAAGGACTATTATTAATTTTATTAAATTCTTTCTTTGTGAAATGTTTGATGATTTAACCTTTGATGAACACAATCACTTTTTGGATGTTTGCGATCCATAAAGCGAATCTCTTGGAGTACACGATTATTTCCATTTTTGATTGTCTCTCTCTCTGATCTACTTGGTAACTGCCCTGTGTTCATTGCGGCACAGCAAGCATATGTTTCTCTAAGGGCTGATAGCTTTGAAGAAATAATAACTCTTCCATTC